TATGTCTTTGTCAGATATTGGTATTAGGATAATGCATAAGTTAGGAAATGTTCTCTCGGCTTCTGTCTTCTGGAAGAGATTGTGGTGAATTGATATAATTTCTCCCTAAAATGTGTGGTAGAATTCACCAGTAAACCCATTTGGACCTGGGGCTTTCTGTCTTGGAAGGTTATTAATTATCGATTCAATTCCTTTAATAGATATAGGCCTATTCAGATTGTCTATTCCATTATTTTTAAGCAGAAAAAGAACTCAAATATTTAGTCAAACTGGATTTAGACTTTATATTATAAATTTTTTTTTTAACGTTTATTTATTTTTGAGACAGAGACAGAGCATGAACGGGGGAGGGGCAGAGAGAGAGGGAGACACAGAATCGGAAGCAGGCTCCAGGCTCTGAGCCATCAGCCCAGAGCCTGACGCGGGGCTCGAACTCACGGGCTGTGAGATTGTGACCTGAGCCGAAGTCGGACGCTTAGCCAACTGAGCCACCCAGGCGCCCCTAGACTTTATATTATAAATAAATACTATTTGTAAGTTTTGTTATTAATTTTCCCACTTTAATTTGGCAGTTTTTTAAATTGTCTCACCTTTATGGAATCACACCAAAGTATTTAACCTAGTTTTCACATAAGCTACTCTCTCTTATATTGTTTATATTGCTTTTAAATAGCAATTAAATTATGCAATTATCAGAACATGTACAATAGTATAAACAGATATAACAAACACAGATCATTCTTTGTAACCATTCATCTCTCCATGAGAGTGGGCTGACAATAGAGTAGCCTACTAGCTCTGAGTCTTGAGTATGCCCTGGGCATCAGTGGGCTTGCTTTCCAGAGATCTTGGAGAGCACTGGTTAATTTGGTGATTTGGTTGAGGAGACATAGATTTGATAAATGAGCTCATGATTTATTAAAGAACATATGAAGTATTGTGGTACAAAGGAAATATGAAGTAGAAAGCACAGTTGGCCTGACATTTATTATCTCTCACTTAATCTTCCAGGACTTCAGTTACTACCTTATACAGTAGTGATAACAACTATACTACACTTAGTGAAGAGATGTTCTAAGCTAGGGAATTATTTGGGATTCCTTGGGGGATGATAGAGGATAAGGGAGAGGAAAACACAATTATAGTGCATTTAAACAGCTTTGCATCCATTATGTAATACAATATTATCTTTGGACTACACAAGTCTAAGGTCCTTATTGTAATCAATGCAAAGTAAAAGACTACTTCTGTAAAACAGGATTATTTTTACAACACAGTAGATAGCCAAGAATAATGACATTAAAAAATGTTTATTTGGGGCGCCTGGTGGCTCAGTTGGTTAAGCGTCCAGCTTCGGCTCAGGTCATGATCTCACGGTCTGTGGGTTTGAGCCCCGTGTCAGGCTCTGTGCTGACAGCTCAGAGCTTGGACCCTGCTTTGGATTCTGTGTCTCCCTGTCTCTCTGCTCCTCCTCCACTCACGCTAAACATGTTTTAATGTTTATTTATTTTTGAGAGAGAGAGAGTCAGGGAGAGAAAGAGGGAGAAAGAGAATCCAAAGCAGGCTCCACATTCAGTGCAGAGCCTGATGTGGGGCTCTTTCTCACAATCATGAAATCATGACCTGAGCTAAAATCAAGAATTGGATGCTTAACCGACTAAGCCACCCAGGCACCCCAAGAATAATGACATTTTTTAACTTATTATAAACAAAATAGATTTTTTTAAGTGTTACATGCTAGGTGTCTTCACTCAAGACATCAACTTGCTTCTCTTAAAATGAAGCTGTCTCTAAAAAGTAAAAAAAGTATTCCATGAGAATCATGAGCATAAGCAATGGCTATCAATTCAGTTTTTAGAAAACGATGTTCCCCCTTCTGAGGGACACAAAAATACTAAAACTTATGACCAAAAGAGCATTCAGAGATGGGAATGAGAGTGACAGTGAACTGGTAAAAACATTCAAACCATTGACATATTTCAGTAGGCACTGAAGAGCAGAATATATTGAGGAATATATAAATATATATGAGGAATATATAAATATAAAAATCATATGTTTATGATTCTGCCTGATATTCTCTCTCTCTCTCCTTCTGCCACTCCCCCCTCAAATAAAGAAATTAAAAAAAAAACACATTTTCACTTACTTCACTCCAAGGCAGTAGTTAAAAAATAGAACCCTGGTGTTGATTACCCTGAGTCTGTACCAGCCATGAAAAATTGCTCCCAGCAAGGGGTACCACCATGTCTTTCAGCTTGTCAGCTCTAACAACCAATATGTTTTATGCTCTTTTACTTTCTACATGACCTACCAACTATTTATATAAATTGAACATACATAATTTTTTAATGTAAATTGAACTTTACTTGTCTTTCACTTTAATTCTCTCTCTCTCCATTAGCCAGTTATCTGGATTCCATTCAGAATAGCTCTTCCATCCAATAAGCTGGGGAGATGGGATCTGCCTTAAGATGCTGACTCCCCTGAAAGAGCTCTTAAGCAAGGTGGAACTGTGAAATCCTATGTACCATCTCTATCTTGAATGATGTGGCTTTCCATCATTCTTACTTAGTTTCCATAGATTTAAATAAATGCTTCTCACTTTTTTTTAAGTCCTTTGATGGATCTCTAGAGACTTTGAGTGATTGTCTATGCCAATTTCACCAGCTTAACATATGTCTCCCCAGGGGTAAGACTTCCCCAAACTTCTCATACTACCATTCTGGAAGTCCCACCTCCCTCAGAATCTGAAAGATGGTTATTTGAGGTACTATTGGTAAGGCATCATTATTTATCTTCATCCATCAATTAACATATCACCAGATGCATGAGATGCAGTATAACTAATAGTGGGAGCATAACAAATCTCAACTGAGAACCAGTGAGTCTAGAATATAGTGATGCCAGTTAAGGTCAATAACGCTGACTGAAGGCACCAAACTCAGTGACAATTAGAGCCTGCTGAGAAGTACACATGAAAAAAAAAACACCATCTCTTGGGCAGCAGGTAACGTGTTGAAGGGTAGGGCATAAAGCGGTACATTTTTATTTGCTTAGCAGCTGCTTTGGTACAGCTACTTGTAATAGAAGTTGAGCCCTGAGAGGCACGAGATGATATAGATCAGATGTTTCTCAAACTTTAACTTGTACACAATCACTACGCATCCCGTTGGGGAGAACAGTAAGGGATGGTACCGACAGAGATGTGGGACAGATGCGGAGCTGATGAGGCAAACGAGACGTGGAAGGCTTTACTCTTCATAGTGGAGCACCAGTTACTTGTGACTTCTCAAGGGGTCCACAAGTTTAATAACTCAAAACTGTACAGTTCTGGGTGTGTGTGGGGGGGGTACAGTCTTTTCATCAAATGGTGCTGGGAAAACTGGATATCCACATGAAAAGAATGAAGCTAGACCCATACCTTACATCATATTTAAAAAAATGAATCAAAGACCTAAACATAAGTGCTAAAACTACAAAACTCAGTAGAAAACATAAAGGGAGGCTTCATGACACTGGATATCTTGATAGGACACCAAGCTCAGGCAAGAAAAGAAAAAATATATAAATTGAGATTAAAAGCTTTTGTTCATCAAAGGACATTATCAAGAGAATGAAAAGGCAACTGATAGAATGGGAGGAAATATTTACAAATCATATATCTAATAAGGGATTGATATCCATAATATATAATGAACCCCTAAAACTCAACAACACAAACAACCCAATTTAAAAATCGGCAAAGAACTTAAATAGACATTTCACAAAAGAAGATAAAAAATGGCTAATAAGGACATCAAAACCTACTCAGATTTCACTAATTACTAAGGAAATGCAAATCGAAACTACAGTGAGATACCACTCTCATCCGTTAGGACGATTATCATGAAAAAAAAAAAAAAAGAAAAGAAGTGTTGGTGAAGATGTGAAGAAATTGGAACCCTTGTGCACTGCTGGTGTGAAAGTAAAATGGCAAGTTGCTGTGGAAAACGGGACAGTAGTTTCTCCAGAAACTAAAAATTGAATTACCATATGATACAGCAATTCCACCTCTGGGTATATAACCAAAATAATTAAAAATAGAGACTTGAACAGATATTTGTATGCCAGTGTTCAAAGCAGTAATATTCACAATGGCCAAAAGATGGAAATAACCCACATGTCCACGGACAGGTGAATGGTTAAACAAAATGTACTATATAAATGCAATAGTCCCCCTTTATCAGTACTTTCGATTTCCACCTTTTCAGTTCCCTGTGGTCAACCCCAGCCCAGAAAGGAGATGATGCTCCTGAGAAATCAGCAGGCCAGCAGTAGCCTAAAGCTATGTCACAATGCCCATGTCATTCATTCACTTCTCTTCATCTCATCAGGTAGGCGTTTCATATCACCTAACATCATCACAGGAAGATGGTGAGTATAATGTAATATATTTTGAGAGAGACCACATTCACGTAACTTTTATTACAGTATATTGTTATAATTGTTCTATTATTGTTAACCTCTTACTGTGCCTAATTTATAAATTAAACTTTATCTTAGGTAGATATGTGTAGGAAAGAGGAAAGTATACGTAGGGTCTTGCACTAACCATGGTTTCAGGAGTCTTGGACTCGAATCACCCCTCAGATAAGGGAGGTCTAGTATACAATGGAATCTTTTTCAGCGCTAAAAAGGAATGAAATTCGGATACATGCTACAACATGGAAGAACTTAAAAACATTATGCTAAGTGAAATAAATCAGACACAGAGGACGAATACTATATGATTACACTTGTATGAGATACATGAGAGGGAGGTCCCATTTTTAGAGCGCCAGCCAGGGGATGGGGCACTTTCCAGGCACCAGCCTCTGGGTTCAGAGAAGGAAACTGGCCCTGCAAGGGGCAGGGCCAGGCGCACTCCAGCCCTTCTTGCCTGGAGCAAGAGCCTGAGGCCAAGGCCCAGGTGTAGCCCCCTCTCCCCCAGGACCACGGCCTCCTGCAGCCCAGGGGCGGAGCGGGCGCCGGCAGAGCGCGGCGCGGGGCTGGCGGCGAACGTCCGCGGCGGAATCGCCGTAGCTGCCGCTGCCGAAGACTCCCACCCGGGCCGGCAGCCCCCGCAGACCCACCTTCCCGGTGCGCGGCGGCTCCGCTGCTTCCCTCCAGAGGAGGTCGGGCTCCCCGCTCTCCGGACCCGCCTGGCGACCTCGCCTCCGGCGGGGCGGGCGGCCGCGGCGCCCGGGGCATGGCTTCGGCGGGCAGCGGCATGGAGGAGGTGCGCGTGTCGGTGCTGACCCCGCTGAAGCTGGTCGGGCTGGTGTGCATCTTCCTGGCTCTGTGTCTGGACCTGGGGGCCGTGCTGAGCCCGGCCTGGGTCACGGCCGACCACCAGTACTACCTGTCCCTGTGGGAGTCCTGCCGGAAACCCGCCAGCTTGGACATCTGGCACTGCGAGTCCACGCTCAGCAGCGGTGAGGGCCCGGCGCGCCGCGACCCCTGCCTCCCGCCCCGCACCTCCCCGCGCCCCACTGCCCGGACGGCCACCGCCTCTCCGCCCCTCCCCAACCTTCTGAGTCCCCTACCCTTGTCCGCCCCGCTCCAGCCTGCCCCTTCGGGGACCCTGGGGCTGCAGCCGCCTCTCTGATGGCCACCCCTCGCCTCTCCTCCGTCCGGGCCGCCAGACCCAATGCGACGTCCCACGCCCTCTCCGTCCTCCCGTGGCCATTCCTTGGGCTCTGGAGTAACACGTATGCTATTTGGGGTCATTGTTATCATTTAAGGCGAGAACCGTGTGGCTGTGTTAAAAACGCAACGCCTTCAACACTCTCTTTAAAAAAAAAAAAAAAAAAAAAAAAACAACCAAAAACCCCCCAACCCCACCGAGACGCTGTGGGTTCTCTGCTCGCTCTTCCCCACTCTATTCTCCCTCCACTCTCAAGGAGGAATTGGCCCGAGTTTACCTCTTCGTGCCCACGTTTCTGCCAGCTCTACTCCACTTTGTCTGGGTTTTCCCCAAGGAGTTGCGGTTTGAGTTTTATTTCCTTAAATTTTTGAGGGATGTGGAAAGTTGGAAGACAGGCGTAATTTCCTTTCCTTTTTTGGTGACACGTTGTTGGTTGTGAGTTGCCCTTCTTTCTTGCCCTGTCCAGATACCTCCTCTCTCCTCCATACCTTTCTTTCTCTTCAAGAACCGTTTACAAAAGCCTGGAACCTTTATAGTGTATTCAGCCAACACTAAAAACTGCAAACATCTTTACTGTGGCAGCTCCTAAGACAGACTTGGTTCTTGGAGTGGACACAAAGTGCTATAAAGGATATTATTAGAATGATTTTTGAGTGTAACTATTAGATAATATTGCAACCATGTTAATTTTCGTGATTTGATCATTGATAGTGGTTTAGTAATTTTTTATTTTTATTTATTTATTTATTTTTTTTTTAATTTTTTTTTTCAACGTTTATTTATTTCTGGGACAGAGAGAGACAGAGCATGAACGGGGGAGGGGCAGAGAGAGAGGGAGACACAGAATCGGAAACAGGCTCCAGGCTCTGAGCCATCAGCCCAGAGCCCGTAGTAATTTTTTAAGGAAATACACAGTGAAGTTTTCAGGAATAGAGAGGCAAGATATAGGCAGCTTACTAGAAAAGGGGGTGGGGAAGGGAGAGAAAACAAAGCAAATGTGGGAAAATGTAATTGGTGAATATGAGTAAGGGGCATTTTTTGTATTCTTACAGTTTTCCTGTAAATTTTAAATTATTTACATTTTTAAGTTCAAAATAGTACTGTTCACTGGTATTAAGTTCTTTCACACAGTGCATTTTGAACAAGTAACTTGCCTTTCCTATAAAGGAGATTGATAAATTAGAAGGAAAAGTCATTACCTTTGGGAAAACTGTAGAATATCTAAAACTTAAAACTTATATTCATTGAAAAAAACACAATATAAAGAACCAGATTTTATGTATGTTTTAGAAACATGAGCCATATTGTACTTGAAACATTTCGTGATATTTGGTATAGATAGTGAAGGTTCTTAATAACATTTAGGTCACATTTACAAATGGCACTTTATTCTCTTTAGAGTACATAATAATTTAGGATTGGTCTAAGAATATGGCTACTTTAAGACCAAGCCAGTTGTGTTAAAACACACACATACAGGGGCACCTGGGTGGCTCGGTTGAGTGTCCGACTTCGGCTCAGGTCATGATCTCATGGTTCGTGGGTTTGTGCCCCACGTCGGGCTCTGTGCTGACAGCTCAGAACCTGGAGCCTGCTTCAGATTCTGTGTCTCCCTCTCTCTCTGCCCCTCCCCTGCTCTCGCTCTGTCTCTCTCTCTCTCTGTCCCTCTCAAAAGTAAATAAACATTAAAAAACATTTTTTACAAATAATAAAAATCTTTTACTTGTAGTACAAAAGAAAAGACATATCTATTTTTGAACTCAACTCCCTTCCCCACTTTAAGAAAAACCCCTCTTTACCACTCTTTAGAGGGCATGCTCTTCCAGGAGAGCAGGGCTGGAAATGCAAACGGCAGTGGTGTAAATTCTGTGGAACTGCTCTGCACTTGGACATTACATTACCAGAGGTAGCCAGCATATAAAGATCCATTCCCGTGCACCGACCTTGAAAATAACACTGGGTGCTAAACAAGTGATGTTAGATGTGCTAGAACACAACTGAGTACGTCTGATGGCACATTCCTGCCAACCATCGGCGTTTAAATATAGTAATAGCGATTCCACTGCTTATACTCACTGTTGTAAGTAGATTACCTCCCGGGCATTCTGCTGTTGCACAGCAGCAACCAAATCAAAATCCAGTCTCCAGACTACCAGTCTTTGTCCCTCTAAATAAACCTAAATAAAGCTGCAACTGACCTAGCAACATAAACCCAGAGAACCCCTGCTTGTATGAAGGGAAGGGATGACAAAATAGCATCAAGAAATCAAGATAAATTTGGCCATAATTCATTCCAAGGAACACTAATTATTTCATTCTAAATTCACTTAAGGTAAATATATTGTGACTCTTGAACATATCTATCCCCATCCCACTCTGCTTCTGAAAAAAGGAGATGATTCTTCATGATATATAGAGATATTGCATACAACAGTGCACACCCAAGATATCCTGTACAATAAAAACGCAATAGCCGCACCACACACACACACACACTCACTCATGGGGAATTGTTTTTATTTTTCCATACAAGTAAATTTAAGCTATAATTCAATTCATATTTCCAAAAATTCTTCCTACTTTGGAGGCATATATATAATACCACCAGAATTTAGTCTCTGTTAATGTAAACAGCTTAGAAAATTTCTTAATCTTCTAAGTTTAGAAAAGCTACATTATAGACATTTCAAAATTTTTTTAAGTTTGAATTTTCCAAAGAATTTTTTAAAGTGTTCTTTTTCCAAAGAAAATATTGAAGTAAATGAAAAACAAAAAGTGAGTCCTTGTTTTTTTAATGGCTGTGATAACAATGAATTTAAATTTTACTTCACTATAGAAATGTATATTTCGTGTAATAGAAAATATAAATTTTTCACCTAGTATTTTTTAAGTATCCAAATTAGAATCAACTAGATGGCACTTGTACATGGTAACAATGGTAGGCCCACAGTGACTGTTTCCTTCTTTCCACACTTCATTAGTGAAGCCATCTAGAAAACTGACTGTCAGCATGGCTGAGTAAGAGATTCAGCTAATTTTCTTTCCAAAAAGCAATGCTAAACTGGAAAAATTGTAAAAAATAACTATTTTAGTACTATGGAAATTGACCAAAAGCATACAACAAGTTGCGAATGTTTATTCAAGAAAAACAGTGGAGGGGTGCCTCAGTTGATTGAGCATCCAACTCTTGATTTCGGCTCAGGTCATGATCTCAAGGTTCGTGGGTTTGAGCCCTGCATCAAGCTCTACTCTGGCAGTATGGAGCTTGCTTGGGATTCTCTCTCTATCCCTATCTCTCTGCCCCTCCCCACTGCACTCATGCTCTCTCTCTCTCAAAATAAATAAATAAAAAAGGTGGGGGGGGAGTGAAAATCTGTGGCATTTATAGCCTGAACTCCTGTTCTGCCTCCTTGTCCCTTGCTCTGTTGTATAGTAGTTCTACTAGGATACAGCATGCCATGAGGATCAATGGCCTGGATGATGGACAGAGGTTTTTTGATTTACACTGTGGAAAAAATCTAAGCTCAGGGGTGATATTAAAAACAATAGCTGGGGCACCTGGGTGGCTCAGTCTGTTAAGCATCTGACTCTTGGTTTCAGCTCAGGTCACGATCTCACAGTTCATGAGTTTGAGCCCCACAGTGGGCTCTGTACTGACAGTGCAGAGCCTACTTTGGATTCTGTCTCTCCCTCTCTGCTTGGCCTCTCCCCCACTTGTACTCTCTCTCTTTCTCAAAATAAATAAACTTAAAAAAAAAACAAAACAATAGCTAACTTCATGGCAAACAGCTGAGGAAGACCAACATCACAGCTAACCTAGGGTTGCAGTATGGGTTGGTGTGAATTACAGATAGGAAAATCAGGCATAAATTTAACAGAGAGATCTGGCAACAAGGCAGCCATCATAGACTTTAATAAGCCACCACATGGCCCAGCTGTTCTGGAAGGCTGTGTATATCTGCAAGGCTGCAAGGGTGTGTGCACTATCAGGAAGACCAGAGAAAGGCCCAGTTAGCTACTTGTCTCTGGTTGAATGTGAGGCCTTGCATACCAAGGAAGTAAAAGCCATAGCAGACTTGTAAACTTGCTGAACCTTAGTGCATTCCCCAATTTATGTTTGCAGATCCATCAACAAAGGCTGAAAGTCTTACTGGCTCAGGTTATGTTATGGACTGAATGTTTCTCTATCCCTCCAAAATTGAAATGTTAAAGCCCCAACCCCCAGTGTGACTGCATTTGGAGATAAGACCTTCATGGAGGTAATAAAGCTATAGGATTAGTGCCCTTAGGAGAAGAGACACCTTTCCACCACATGAGGACACAGCAAGAAGTCTGTCATCTATAAGCCAAGAGAAGAGGCCTCAATGAAACTTACCTTGCTAGCATCTTGATCTTAGAGTTCCCAGCCTTCAGAACTGTGAGCACTGCAGAATGGTGGTTTTGTCTAAGCTCTCAGTTGATGTTCTACCACATGAGCCAGCCATGTGCCCCTCAAGTAAAGTGAAGTAGATTGTGATAACATACATATTGTGCTCCCTAGAGAAATCACTAAAAAATAACTTTAAAACATAAGGGGAAAAAAACGAATTAAAATGGTACAGTGGAGAATATCTATTTCATACAAATGAAAGGAGTACAGGAAGAACAGGAAAACACAAAAGACAGGAAATACATAGCAAACATAGCAATATGGCAGATATAAATCAGCCATATCAATAATAACATTAAAAGTAAATAGATTAAACTCTCCAATCAAAAGAAAGTGTCACAATGGATAAAAAAGAATAT